CCCTCTGAGAAGATGCTGGGGAGCCCCCACCTGCCGCTCGGCCGGGGCTGCCGGGAGGAGGCCGAGCCACAGGCTGAAATCCGCTCTGAAGCGTGCCGGGGTTTCCTGAGCTATAATTAGCAGCTCTGGGGCTGTGAGCATCCGTGGAGCTGCGACCGGTTTGAGATGGACACCGGGCTTCTCATCCCAGTCCTCTTTCCCGACCCGGCTCCTGTGTAACTGCGGGTTCAAGGCAGCCTCCGGGGCTGACAAAAGCTGGCACAAATCCAGGGCAGGAAGGATTTGATGAAGGACAAGGTGTGACTTCATTGCAGTGGCCAAAGCACTCCGGGTGGGCTCCTGAACCCGCAAGCCGTGAGTCAGGGCCGGGGGAAGAGTCGGATGTCGGGGAGCCTGCGGGGCAGTGGCACAAGTCGTGTAGGCAGCAGCCGGGCCCCGCTTGTGAAATGAGGATCGGGCGGCAGGCGAGAGGCTGCTGGTAAATGAGAGGGCAGGGAGGCGTGCCTGGGCCCTCTCCTTGTGAGCAGAGGGAAGCGTGGGTTTGTATCATCTTCCTGCTCTGGGACGTGCTGGGAGACGCCCGGGAGTCGGCTTTCCCACTGCTAATGCTGCTGTTGCCTTTCACCCCTCCTTCCTCGCCACCTCCTCCTCACCCCTTTCTCACCACCCTTTCCATCCTGCCTGGTCCTGGCTGAACTCAGGGAGGGGACAGAGGGCACAGCTGCGGGCAGAGGACAGCCAGTGCCTCCTGCACCTCTGGTCTGGGAGGACCTAACTTCTCCTGGCCCACGTCAAGCAGCCTGAGCATGACGTGGGGTGCCCGGGAGGAAGTGTGCCAGGACACCTTTACCTGTGCTAGCCGGGGAGGTGCCTGGGTGGCTCGGCTCGGGCAGACAAGGAGGCTCCTCGCAGAGCGAGGACCGGGGCCAGGCCTCTGAGCACAGCGCGGCTTTGCTGCCGGGCGCTTGGCAGAGCCTCCCCGCGTGGGGTGTGGCTGCCCTGGCCCCTGCCTCTTGCTCCCGGGGCACAGACGCACGGGGGCAGCCGGGAGGAGGCAGAGACGGGCGTGCGCGTCCTGCTAAGTGGCACAGCAGCCCCTTAGGGCCGGCTGGAAGTGGGGACTCCATCCCGGCCACCAGCCTCGGCCAACCCTGCCTTCCTTTTCCCAGTCACCACCGCCGACCTGGAACTCTCCGGCATGAGAACCCTGGAGCACGTGGCAGTCACCGTCACCATAACCCACCCCCGCCGTGGCAACCTGGAGATCAGGCTCTTCTGCCCCAGCGGCATGATGTCCCTGATAGGCACCACCAGGAGCATGGACTCGTAAGCACCGAGGGGGACAGGGGTGCGGGGGCTCACGCCGCAGGGCAGGACACCCAGCCCAGCTGGCCCCGAGCAGGAGAGTCAGGGCCCACGTCCAGCCTCGTGGCTCGGGCTACGTTACCCTCTCACGGGTCGTTTCTCCTCACCCTTTGGCAGAGACCCCAATGGCTTTGCTGACTGGACCTTCTCCACGGTCCGGTGCTGGGGCGAGGAAGCACAGGGCACATACAGACTGGTCATCAGGGACATTGGTGAGTCCTGCCTTGCGGGGGCCCTTCACAGGGCAGTGGCAGCAGCTCCGTGCCGTGTCCTGGGGAGCTGCCAGCTCAGCACCTGGGCGGCCACGGGTTAGCTCCATGCAGTGCCACCCAGCCGGGTGGGAGAGTTCCCCACTGGTCCAACCTGTTTCTTCCCCAGGAGACGAGAGCCTGAGGCCTGGGACCTTGAAGCGGTGGCAGCTGACCCTGTACGGCTCCTCCTGGTCCCCAGCAGAGATGAAGGAACGGCAGAGGTAGGACACCACAACCCCGTCTCGGTGGGGAGACGGGAGATGGAGGGCTAAGGGACACGGTCAGAAGTCTCTGAGCAGGTGCTGCTTGGCCGGAGCAGTGTTGCTGCGAGGTGCACGGGCAGGGTGAGGCTGCAGCCTGCCCGCTGGCACGGGGCACTGGGACTGCCCTCCATACACTGCACAGGGGAGCCGCGGGCTGTTGGCTGGGTCTGACCCAGGAGGGCAACCCTCAGTGGTGGAAGAGCCGCTCCAGACCCTCTGTGGGCATTTGGGACCCTCCCTGGAGCGGCCCCGCCTGCGGGACCCTCACGGGGTGCCTCTGTCCCCCAGGCTGCTGGAGGAAGCCATGAGCGGGCAGTACCTGAGCAGCGACTTCTCCCTGCCCTGCCCTCCGGGGCTGGAGATCCCCGAGGAGCAGCACTACACAATCACAGCCAACACCCTCAAGGTGAGCCTGCCTGCGGGCCGGGGGTACTGCCGGCTGGCGCCGAGCGGGGAGACCCCGTCCTCTGCAGGAGGGACTGGAGGAGTGGGAACCCGCGTCGCTGATCCTCCTGGCGCTGCGCCCTCTCCGCTGGGCGACAGCAGGGCTCCGGGGTGGCTGAGGGCTTCGTTTCTGAAGGGCTTTCCTCCTCCGCAGACCCTCCTGCTGTTGGGATGCTTTGCCGTGTTCTGGACTTTCTACTACATGCTGGAGGTTTGCCTGTCCAGGAACAACGTGGGGCTTGACCTGACCTGCAACGGCTCCGCCGCCTGCAAATGGTACCAGCAGGGAGGGAAGCACAGAGCCCTGGAGAGCGGCCTGGAGATGGAGTCTGTGCCGCTCTACCGGGAGAAGGACATCGAGGATGTCGAGCTGGAGTGTGAGCGCCCGGAGCCTGCCCAGGAGGACGAGGGGGAGGAGGGGTCCTGGACCCCCACCCGCCCCAAACTTCCCAGCAGTGGCAGAGCTGCCGGCTTCCACGAGGCGGCCCCCGCCGGAGCAGGGTACCTTGGCCGGGAGGCGACAGCCGAGCTCCTCTCGGAGGACAGGGAGCGCCAGACGTGCTAGCTGGGGCTGGGGGTTTGGGCTGCATCCCTTCCACTCCCTACGTCCTTCCCGAGCGCGGGCAGCAGAGACTTCCTGAGCCACCAGGGACCATTGCCCTTGCGTCCTGCGGAAGGTGGCGTTGGAAGTGGCTCAGAAACAAGGAGAAAGAGTGCTGGCAGCGGAAGGGGAGCTTCCCTTTCCCTCGCTCTGGAAAACAAAGCAAGCCTTAAACCCATTCCTAACGGAGCCCGCCCTGCGACGACGCTCAGGGCTTCCCTTTGTGCGTGGGGCAAGGCCCCATGCCCACACCTCCGGGAGCTACACACGGAGCCCCCTGCACGCCACGGCTCCTGTGGCCTTGCAGCACGGGGAAGAAGTGTCACTTTGTCCCCCATTTCTGCAGAGCGAGCCTGGAAAACGTGGCCTGGCCCCGGCAGCTGCCTCTGCAGGCAGGGACCCCCCAGCGCTGTCATCTGCCTGCCCCGCTGGGCTGGGAGCTGGCCGGTACCCGCCAGTTGCGGCCAGCTTAGAGGCAGGGAGTCATTTTGCCCATCTCCAACCAGCGCTTGCTCCCAGTCCCCTGTGCTCCGACCCCGCCGCCGCCTTCTCATCCCCCGCAGGCGCACGAGCAGCCGTGCGGTCGGGGAGGCAGAAGGCAGGAGGGCTTTCTCGACCGTCCCCCTCAGAGGGGCAGGACGGGGCTGTCCCCGCTGCGGCGGGCACAGAAGCACCCCTGGCAGCAGGTATCGCGGCAGCGCGAGCTCGCTGCGGCCGCTTCCCCCAGTTGCCTCCTCGCCGCTTGCTGGGGCGTCAGTTTGTGCCCGGTGTCCGGGAGGGACGAGGCCGTGGTCACGCTTGCTTTGGGCGGGGAAGGGGAGGTTGAGCTGCTCTGGCAGCGGCTCATCTGCGAGCGGGGTTGGCTTGTTCGTGTGTCTTTGGGTTCGTCGGTTTATTTTTTTAAAGCTGGGGTTTGTTTTTTAATCAGCAAAGCCCTTTTGTGTAGCTTTCCAAATAAAGTCTGAAAAAGCCGCCTCTCCCCCATCCATCACTCCTCTGCCCTCCCAGCACTTTCTGGCTGTGGAAGCATGAGTCACCCAGCACCTCCCAGCCCCGGGGCCCGTGGGGACGCCGTGCCGGGGTGCTGGGTCTGCTCCTGGCTCCTCGCAGCCCCCCGCGCCCTGCTCCCTGGGAGCCGGGATAACGGGGGCTGCTCCAGGCAGGGAGAGGCGAGGGCTGGGCCAGAGCGGTTGGAAGGAGCGAGGAGGAAGGTTGGTGCTGCGGCTCAGGCGGGAGAGGGCAGAGCCACCCCGCGGAGCCGTCTGAAGTGGGCAGGGAAAGCCTGATCCCCAGCTCTGGTTTTCCCAGGTTAGGAACGAGAAGAAGGAGCAGATGTGGCCCGGGTGACCTGAGCAGCTTTTACGGAGGGTTGCTTCGGCTTTCCCGGCACTGCCGGCCAGGGGCGACGGGGCGGGCGGGAGGAAACCTCGTCAGGCCACCCTAGATGAATAACCTTTTAATTTTGACAAAAACGAAGTACAAAACCAAGGCCAATTTTCTTTTCTCCCCGTTCGCAAGGATCTCTGCG